GAAGATAAACACCACTTTGAATAATAACTCTGCAAGAGAAGTCACTTGATAAAACAGATTAGTTAGAAATAAAAAATGAATTATTTTCCTATTTCTCCCCCTAAATTGTTGCTTCCTAAATAAAGAATTATTTCTGATCAAAAGTAAAGCAACTAAAGCAACTATTCTCCCCCTTTTGACTTCATAAAAAAAATAGGGAACAGAAGAGAAATAATGCAAATGTATGTAATAAGTTTGAGATTTTTGAAAATTGAGAAAGAAATGAATACGATATCTTACTCATGTAAAGATCAATCAAAGTTGATTCAAACTTATCTTCATTAACACGTTTGTAATGAATACAATTAACACGTGTAAAGATAAGGGAATCACGCTTTAGTAGCATGTTACAAGAACATCCATTAACTAAAGCCTTTAATTTTTCTTTCCAGAATAAAAATCGATTAAAAACAGGACAAAATCGATTAAAAAGTTCTTGTTTAATGATTTTAATCAATTGAAATAAAGGTTTAATCGATTAAAACAGTGAAGGACTTCGAAAGTATGAAACATAAGTGCATTTAATCGATTAATTCGACATTTAATCGATTAAAACAGTAAAGAAAAATGCTGTATAAATTCTTTTAATCGATTTAAAAGATTTTTTATTGATTAAAACAACCAGATTTGCAAACTAAGTAATGTTTTATGCGAATTTATCATGCCTAATTCAGTGTAAGTTTTGAAAAACCGATCATTTAGAAAGATGCTTTACAATAATATCAACTACATCGATTAAATTTTAACCAATAGATCCATCAAAATTAGAATAAAATCTTATTTAGCTAATTTAACTAATGTAAACTGGTTTATATAGATTTTAGTTGATTGATACGCAGTTTAATCGATTATTTTGTTGTGAAAGTGTTTCCTTTAATCGACTAAAACCATTTTGTATCAGCTAAAAATATCTGGGATCTATGTTGAATTCTATCTAGACTAGTTTGATTCGATTTAAAACCTACATTATATTGATCAAAGCTAAAGAGATTGTACCTGGTATACAACCAAGTAAATATTACGAACTCGAAATTGAAATTAGCACCAAAAGAAATAAGAAATAAAAGATAAGATAAGAAGGGACCCTTTTAATCCATAAAATCAATCATCCCAGTTTCCTTGGTTCAGCTTCATATCTTCCAGCTTGGGGTAGATATCAACAATTTGGTTTCCAAGGGATGCGAATTGATTGTTTGTTTGCTGGAAGTGTTGGAATGTCATCTGCATATGCTTTCTCTGATTTTCCTGCACTGCAGCCATTTGAGAAAGCATTGTTCTTTCAAATTGAGATAAAGGAGTCCCACGGTCAGGCTGCTCCATGTAAGGAATGATTTCCATATTTTCATATGAGGCTTGACCACTGGTTAACTCAGGAAGGCCAGAAAAAACCAGATTGGAGAACTTTTGCAACAGTTCTAACTCCATTAAAAGGACCTCCATAAGGAGAAATGTAGCAATGCTAAAGAATATTTTTGGCTTCCTTGCTTGTCACACACCTTCTCAACAAGTTATCACTTCCTATCTTGAAAAGGTAAAGATCATCCCATACAAAATAATGGGTATCCTTAAATAATTTATTCTTTTGGTGCCAAGTATATTCTCCTGGGACAACTTTTGCATCTTTAAAATTTGCCATGTTAGCAAATCAAGGTCTTTCTTGTACCATCATCAATTTTTCATCTGGAAATTCCTCCTGCACTTCTAATTGATTATTAGTCACATCTCTATATTGTTTCCTTTGTACATAACATCATTTACATCTAGAGAGATAATGAAAGCATCATACTGACCTTGAGTCTTGATGTATAGTGTTGCTCACTCTTGCTCTTCCTAAATCCTTGATCAATGAAGTACTAATTGATTTTTTTGTATGCTTGAGGAGCTTGCTTCAAGGCATATAGTGTTTTTCTTAGCCTTAACACTTTAGCTTCATTTATTTTGCTTATAAATCCTTATGGTTGCTCCACGTATATCTCTTCCTCAAGTACACCATTTAGAAAGGTTGGTTTGACATCGAACTAGTGAATGCTCCATCCTTTTTGTGCTACAAGATCTATTAAAGCTCTAATTGTGTCTAGGCTAGCAACTAGGGCAAATGTATCAATATAGTCGATTCCAAGTTGTTGAGAGTAATAGCCCGTTGCTACCAGCCTAACCTTGTACTTTTTTATGTTATCATCATAATTGAGTTTTATTTTATAAACCCATTTAACTCCAATGGTGTCTTTTCCATGAGGATAATCTACTAATTCTCAAGTATTATTCTTTTAAATCATTTTAATTTCTTCCTACATGGCCTTGATCCATACTTCTTGTTTTGTTGCCTCTTGATAGCATTTATGCTCAGGCATTGTCATGTTGCATGTTTCATATATATCCATGATAGTTCCATTTTTGGCATGGCCATGCATTTGCATGCAACACTAATTGCTAGAGTGGTAAAAAAAAAAAACCTAAGTTTCTGCCTTACTAACTAAATGTAGTACAATAGTCAACTCAAGTCATTCCATGGAAGGCTAGTGTATAGAGATTATTATTTGCAAGGAATGGGGGATTTTTATATTAAACGTGAAAACTAAGAATATAATTGATGCAAACAAGGAAAATAAGAAAATCAAGACAAAAAAGAAATCGAGACTTCAAAGAGAAAAATCAAACAATAGAAAAATTAGGCGATCTAGAGAGTGAAAAGTTGAGCGATCAAAGAAAGGAAAATTGAGCAAAGTAAGAGAAATTGAACATTAAGAGAAAAATGGATGAAAATAATTGAAGAAAAAATAGTCTAAGAAAATTATCCAAGAAAATTGTGAATCAAAATCGAAGAAAGCAATAAATTATAGAAAAAGTAATCGAGAAAAGTAGTAAGCAAAAAATTGAAGAAAGCTCGAGGAAAGCTCTTAATGAAAAAGAAACAATCGCTAAATCGAGAAAAAATTTGTAAGTTGTATTGAAGTAAGCTATAAATTGAAGATAATACGAAATTGAAGAAAATATAAAATTGGAGAAATAATATATCAAAGAAAAGAATAAAAAAAATAATAAATTGAAGGAAAATAGTGAAAACAACACAATAGAAAATCCAAAAGAACAAAATAGTAAATCGAAAAAAGCAAATCAAACTAAAACAACATAAATCGAAAATTGGGCATCAAACAAATCAAAATAAAGAAAAATTCTAAAACAACACTAAGTTTGGAGAAAAAACAGCGCAATGGTCAAGCAACATTCAAACATTGTAAAACTTAAAACTGATTGAACCAACATTCGAAACTTAATAAAAAAACCTGAACAATATTATAAATGTGAATAAGATGAACAAAGAAACAAATTGAGCATAGTTTGCAACTTAACTAGAATCGAGAAATATCAACAACCAAAAACTTAGATCAAATAACATAAAACTACTGTAGAACGAGAATTAAAATAAATGATCAAAATGAAGCGATGAAACAGTAAAATGAGTCTATTGAATGTTCATAAGTTAAAGATACAAAATGAAGAAAACTCTTTGTAGTCTCTTTTCATTACTCGTTACCCTATTGTTTTCTCCAAAGAACGAGAATTCTAAAACAACTATGAAAATAATAACCTAAAAGAAAAAAACTTTTCTCCTCCCTTTTTCTCTTTCAAAGTTCTCCTGTATATAGAACTTTTCCCACACTAAAAACAAAACAAAAACAAAATTTTGAAAAGTTTCTTGACAAATCTTCATATGACACTGCCAAATAGCATGTAGCGTCCATTTTGTTATCGTTGCAGGTTAAGGTGCAAATGGTATGTAGCCTCCTTTATTTTCTGGGTCTTGTCGGATTAGGTGACATGAGTCCATTATTGCCCTAATTTCTCTTTTTATGGGCCAAAATCTTGACATAACCCAATACATATGGAAGTTTCATTGAGGGATCGAGAATTTAGCAGAGTGTTTAAATTGGTTGATCGATCCTAAGCTCGATATACTACCTTCATCGTTGATCCTCAATTGAGAGTGCCTCAACACCAAAATCATGTTCTTGCATTCAAATTGAAGCTCTTGGAGTTGAGTATCCATGAAACATATTTCAGCTCAATCGAACATTTTGTGGAAAATTGAGACAAGATGCGCATCTCAAATTCATGATTCAGCTTCCATATGTGCATTTTAATTTGTGTTTTATTCCTTTTCCTAAAATTCTTGAAAGATGAGAAACTAAGCTAAGAATGAAAATTAAGAGAAATGGAAATCATAGTGAGATGCAATAAGCTATAAGATGTGAGTATGAAGGGATTAAGATATTTGCCCACCCAAATATAGTAAAAAAACCCAAGGAAAATTCCCACTGGACATTAAGATAGTTGCCTATCTAGATGTAAAGGTTCATTTCCAAGGATTATGGAGGGAGGAAGAGATGGAATGAAACTATAAAAGAATAAAGACAAGGTCTGGAAAAATGGACCAACCCCTTGGATAAATCAATGAAGTGAAGAAATAAAGAAGAAAAGAGGAAGAGAAAAGAAGTATGGTGGTGGTGGAGTGTTGACACGCCACTAGGGGATGAGCCACCTTAGATAAGTGGTGGTTGCCACCACTTGAACCAAGATTTAAGATAAGACACTCAAAGAGATGAAATAATCTAAGAAGCCTCACAGACTTTCACTAGTGCAAAAAGGGGTTTTTACGTCAGGTATTTAGGGCTTTTTACGTTGTATTTAAGTCCGACGTTAAAGCAGGAGACGTAAATTTACGTCAGACCCTTTTGCCCGACGTAAATTTACGTCAATTATCCAGATCCGACGTAGATTTACACTAAACAGCCGTAAAAACCTTTTCAATTTAAAAAAAAAATAGAAAATTTACGTCGCATATGGTATACGCGACGTAAATTTACGTCGCATATACCAATACGCGACGTAAATTTACGTCGCATATACCAATACGCGACGTAAATTTACGTCGCATATACCAATATGCGACGTAAATTTACGTCGCATATTGGTGGTGGCACCAGGTCCTGTGTTGCCATACTCAGCATAGTACAATGTTTTGAGAGCAAAGTCTCCATTCCAAGCTGTCCATCCATCAGGGTGAATGAAGTCACCTATTTCTGATTCCATCACAATGGTTCTTGAGAACTCCTTCCATGGCCTTCCAAGGTAGCTCCCGATCTTGTCCTTTATCGGGACCAGTTTGTCATCAGGTTTGATTGTGCACTTCGGAGCACAATTCCGAGTGGCTTGTTGCTTGTCCTCTCTCCCTTGTGTTGTCACCATGTTCTGCTGGTTGTCATTTGGCTTCCTCACAACCATGATGCGGTTCCGGAACACCACAGCTGCATCACCAAAGATGAAGTCAATTGTGCCACTAACGATGCAGCTCTCGTAGAACTGTTTGTGGGCTTGGACGTATAGAGTGTCTTGGTAGCCCTCAAAACGACAGGTTGGCGAACACCGCACGATCTGCCTGGACTCTTGCGGCCATCGCTTGATGTCCATCGGGGCCTGCAGTGTTTCGAACCCCATTGCTAGGCCTATGAATCCGTCTCCCTCTACCACTGCGCGTGCATGTGCCAAAACAATATGTTACCCATTTATAATAATAATAATAAAAATATACATCACATGGTGAAGGGTGTTTAGTTTTAGACATGTCTGCGTACCAAAACTTGCAGTTAGGAAAGTCCCGACTCCGTCCCTCGTAGTTTTTGTTACCGGTGATGATGGTCTTCTCGGGATCCATCACCGTACATGGTTATATTTTGCATTTTCTTTGTTATTTTCACTGTCTCATCGTATATTCCCTCTTTAACAAAAATCACATACCTGCATTTTCAAACCCCAATAATAATTATACCTCAAACGATAGCAAATATACGTGCAGATATAAATAAGCTAGAGGCTTCTAGCTACGGGGTAGAGCGTGAGAGAGGCTAATTACCGTCCTTCATACTTTGCAGGATAGAATTTAAACATTCGGAAATGGTTTTGAAGTTTCCACTCGCCATCTTTTGCCACGGTAACATTAGGTTTAGGTTTGTTATCTGTGGCCTTCAAATAAACAAATTGAAAGCACGTTCCAACAACAATGGAGTGTGTAAATCGAATGCATTCAAACAAATAAACAAATAATTACATTCCAATAACAATCCAAGTGGAGACATTCATACTATAACGTGATTGAGATCCCCAAAAACAATCACGGATTCAATGTAAACATATAGCAATGACATAGAACACTAACCTCAAGTGTAGACGAAAACCGATTTCAAACTCAAATCCAATCGGGGAGAAAGATCAAGTTCGTCAAATGACACGATAATGTAGATGCTTTTCATTGTAAAACTGCTCGAAAATGGTGTGCAGAGGTAGCTTTTGTCGTCGTCCTCATCGTCGTTCTCAAAAACCCTAGTTGCGCGAGACGAAGAAGTGGGTCTGGAGGGAAATAAAATAGACTTTTCGACGTAAAAAGCCATCTTTTACGTCGCACCTGGAGGGCGCGACGTAAAAGATGGCTTTTTACGTCGCATACTGGGATGTGCGACGTAAATTTTTTGTCTCATATTTACAAAATTGCCACCGCGTTTTATTTACGTCGAATATACATGCATACGACGACAATTGGGTGACGTAAAAACCCTGTTCTGCACTAGTGTTTTCATAAATGTTCAACCTCATTACATGAGGGGGAGTCTTTTATTTATAGGCTTTTGGGGGAGGGAACTAAATGGAATTACAAAAGGAGACATAAACTTAACCTAAAACTAAATGTTAGAGTCCCCATGATCCAAATACGTTAAATTCGTCCTAGCCACCAAAAATATCTCTAAAGGTGTAGAGAACATAAAAAAAGAGGTGTGCTTCCTTTTGGGTTGTCCCAAGCCTACCAATCCCGCATTCCAAGCTTCTTCCTCTCCAAAAAGGGGTGTAGAACATGAAAAAGGAGTGTCCTACACCTTTGGGTTTCCCATGTATGTATCGTATGGATCCAAGGCTTCTTTTCCACCAAAAAGAGGTGGTATTCTTCAAAAAAGAGGTGTAAAAAGTGAGCCTACAAAAGGAAAGCGAAAATAAGTGAAAAAACTTAGGAAAAGAAAATACTAAGTAAAAATACTAAGTAAATTCAAAATGGAAGGTGAAGAGGAGGCCTCCCTTTTAGTCATGCTTCTAGTAATGCTCCTAGGGATGACCTCTCTCGCCTCCGGGGCAACTAGGGACTCTCATCAGTGGCCTCCCTTCCTCAAATGGACATACTGTCATTATGGTGGTCATTGATAGGCTTCCCAAATATGCTTATTTGGCCAATTTGAAATCATACTTTAATAGTAAGCAAGTTGTTGAGCTATTTATGAGAACCATAGTAAAGTTGCATGGTTTTCCTCAAACTATTGTGTTAGATAAAAATAAGGTATGCACTAGTTAATTTTGGTAGTACCTATTTCAGTTGATTGGAACTACTTTGAAATTAAGGACTGCATACCATCCTCAAACGGATGGTCAATATGAGGCTTTGAATAAATGCATTGAAATGTATCTAAGGTGCTTTACTTATTAGAATCCGAAGGAGTGGTATAATTTGTTGCCATGGGCAGAATTTTGGTACAACACTTCCTTTCACCATGGTATGGGCATGAAACCTTTCAAGGCTATTTATGGTAGAGATCTACCTCACATATTAAGTATACATTGATGAGTCCCTAAGTTTCCCTGAGGAGGGAGAGGTCATCCTTAGGATGATCACTAGGAGCACGACTAGAAAGAAAGCCTACTTGTCACCCTAATCCTTAAATTGCCTTACTATTTTTCCTTCTCTTTAATTTTCTAAACTTATATTTAATCTTGTTTTTGTAGGACTACTTTAAGAAACCTCTCTTTTGAAGTCTACCACTCTTTTTTTGGAGGAACGGAGCCTTGGACCCAAGACTTGGAGAATGGGACGACCCAAAAGGGAGACACCACTCTTTTTGAAGACTACCACCCCTTTTTTTTGAAGGAAAGAAGAGTTGGACCTAAGACTTGGAACATGAGACGACCCAAAAGGGAGAGGAAGTCCACCTTGGACCTCCCAAGTGAGAAAGGCCATGACCTTGATGAGAAAGGAGAGGGAGCCCCCACCTTTAGGGTTTGTTCAGGGCAACACAAGCTTATAGAATCCCTAATGTAATTCCCTCCATATCCCTCACTCATGCCTATATATAGAAGGCTCCCCACCTCATGCAAATGGTTAGAAATTAAATGAGAACTCTTCTCTTTGGAGTGTTCTTCTTCTCTTAGTCTTATCTTGAACTTTGGTTCAAGTGGCGACAACCACCACTCATCTTGGGTTGGTCTATTGCCCAAGTGGCGTGTCACCCCTCCATCCTCACCCCCACTTCTTTTCTTCTCCATTTTATTTCCTTTTCTTCTTCTAATTTTTCTACATCTCATCCAACCCTTGTTTGTTACTTTTTTTGTGCTTTATTCATCTCCTCTCCTCTCTTGAATCCTTGGAAGTGCACTTTCACACTTAGATAAGTGGTTACCTTCATGTCTAATAAGAATCTTTCTTGGATTTTCTCATCTAAATTGTATCAAACACCTTATTTGATTAACTTAAAAATTGCACTCATATCATTTGGCATTAAGAGCTTGTTAAGTATGTGGAGTCTGAAGGGTTATTGGGCCTGGTCTATTTACTTATTATTTTATTATAAATACTCATGTAATTATAAACCTAATTGTGTGAATAAGAACTATCATCTAGTGCAGATCGTGGACGTAGGTCACTTTGATTGAACCATGTAAATTCCTTATGTTCTTATTATTTTCTTTCATCTTGTATTGCATTTGTCTTCCCAACAATTGGTATCAAGAGCTTAGTTTTTTTTTCATGTGAGTGGGAGCAATGGTTGAAGACGGGAAAGTGAAGATTGAAAAGTTCGATGGAAGCGATTTCAGATTTTGGAAGATGCAGATTGAAGGTTATCTTTATCAGAAAAAGTTGTATCAACCTTTGTTTGAGAATAAACCAGAAACAATGTCTCAGATAAATTGGGAGTTGTTAGATCGACAGGCTTTGGGCGTTGTCAGATTAACATTGACAAAAAATGTTACCTACAACATTATTAATGAGAAGACAACATATGGTTTGATAAAAGCATTATCAAACATGTATGAGAAGGTGCTAGTGTTATAGATCATGTGAATGAATTTAATTCCTTATTGTCAAGATTAGTGTCAGTGGATATTAAATTTGATGATGAAATACAAGCCCTATTATTATTATATTCGTTGCCCGATAGTTGGTCAGGAACTTTCACAACAATAGCTAGTACATTTGGGACTATGAAATTAACCTTTGAAGGAATTAGGAATTTAATCTTAATGAGGATGTTCGTAGAAGAAATGCTGAAGAATCAATAAATTCCTTATTAAGCACCGAAGGAAGATGTAGAAAGCTAGAAAAAGGGTAAGGCTCTAGACGTGGTAGATCAAAGTCCAAGGAGAAAAGATAGTCCAAATCTCGCAAGGATATTACTTGTTGAATTTTCAGCAGAACAGACACTTTAGGAATCAGACATATTCCAAGACTCAAGAGAATGTTAATCTTTGTGGGTATGTTGGATGTTCAAGGATATCGAGTCATATTTGGAGAAGGCAAATGGAAAGTGGTAAATGGTAATCTAATTGTTGCTTGTAGTTTGAAGAAAGGAACGCTATACATGGCACAATTACCTACAGAAGAAGTAAATTCTATTAGTGATGATGTTGGTGATGATTTTGTTCATTCTTCAACTTTGTGGCACCAAAGGCTTGGTCACATGAGCGAGAAGGGTATGAAGATACTAGTCTCAAAGGGGAAGATTCCAGAACTGGAAAAGGTAAAAGTTGGTTTCTATGAACCATGTGTGTTTGGGAAACAAAAAAGAGTTACTTTTGAAAAGTCAGGGAGGATGTTCAAGGTAGAGAAGTTGGAACATGTTCATTTAGATGTGTATGGGTCAACATCAGTCTCATCATTAGGAGGATCACGATTCTATGTCACCTTCATTGATGATTCCACTAGAAAGGTATGAGTTTATTTTTTGAAGCAAAAATCAAAAGTATTTAATACCTTTAAGAAGTTGAAAGCCATTGTTGAGAATGAGACAGGGTTAAAAATTAAATGTTTAAGTCTGACAATGGTGGTGAATATAGTAGTACTGAATTTGTTGATTACTGTACTGAGAATGAAATTAGAATGCTTAAAACTATTCCCAAGACACCTCAGTAGAATGGTATTGTTGAAAGAATTAACAGGACTCTGATTGAGAGGGCAAAAAGTATGAGAATTCATGCAGGATTACCGAAGACATTCTGGGCAAAAACAATGAGCACCATAACATACCTCATAAATCGAGGACCCTCAGTTCCCATAGGATTTAAGATTCCTGAGGAAGAATGGCAAGGCAAGGATGTTGTAAGTCTTTCTCATTTGAAAGTATTTGGTTGTGCTTCTTATGTTCGTGTTAAAGATGTTA